TGAAGGTGATAACCATGCACCTTGAATTGTACCTGGAAATAGATTGGCAGCCAGTATAGCTCCAGCAAAAGAAGTGTACAAATCTAGGCTTGCACAAAATTGTTCAGGCTGCCACGTTCTGAACCAACTAAAGCTTCTAGATATCTTCAAGGGCAACCCCATGTAGAACACATTACTGTAGTCCAGACATATCCAGAATTCTGGGGTATTTCTTATTTGAAGACCCTACAACTTTTAAGTATGATAAAGCATTTTATTTGATCTGGTTTGGTAGCTAGAGAAGGATATGAAGATGAGGGAAAGAAATTTAGTGTGATTATTTTTGCTTCACTAAGTATTTAGTAAGTTATTATACAAATTCTTCTAAAAGTTGCTTCTTTATATCTTAATAAAGATTTTGGGCCACAGAAAATTAAATTTAGTTCAAATGATAAAAATCCATCTCATTCATTCAAAGTGTTAACTGGATCTACAGCGATAACAGATGTTTCTGCTGGTATGTAATATTACCCATTAAAAGAGATTATGGGCTTATTACCAGAGGTGGGCTTCAAAAATGTGAACAATCGGTTCTCTGCCCAGTTGCTGGGTGGCCTAGTTGGCCTCCTGCACCATGGTGGAGGGGGGGGTGTTTGCCCTCCCCGGGCTCCGGAGGCTTTCCTCAAGCCTCCAGGAGGGCGAAAACAGCCTCCCCTGGGCTCCGGAGGCCCTCTGGAACTCCCGGGAGGCCCATTTTTCACCCTCCCTGAGCCTCCACACACTTACCTGGCATCCAAAACATGCTGCATGGAGACCCCTGGGAGGGGCCAGCCAGGGGTCTCCCTTTACAGGTTTGCCGAACCACGCAACATCTTAACAGGATCACCTAAACCCGTGCGAACCTGCAGCAGCCCCCCCCCGCTTGTTACTTTTTTGATTGAACCATGTGCATGTGTGTATAGCACTCAGACCTTCACTTTTGTCGATTTTGTTATGCAGCAGTCCGATTCTACAGTTGTTGAAATTCTTTTCCTTCACTAATCTACACCCATTACCCCATAATGACAAAATGAAGTTTAGAAATATCTGTAAATTTATTAAAAAGAAAAAAACCTGAAATATCAAATAGGCATAACTGTTCATACCCTTCATTCACTACTTTGTTGAAACACTTTTGGCAGCATTTACAGCCTCGAGTCTTTTGGGATATGACTGGATTAGATTTTCTGCCATTCTTCCTTGCAAATCCTTTCAAGCTCAGTCAGGTTGGATGGCAACCATTGGTGGGCAGCCATTTTCAGATCCCTCCAGACATATTCAATAGGGTTCAAGTCAGGGCTCTGGCTGGGCCACTCTAGGACATTCAGAGTGTTGTCCCTAAGCCACTCCTGTATTGTCTTGGCTGTGCTTCAGGTCGTTGTCATGTTGGAAAGTGAACCTTCAACCAGGTCCGAGGTTCTGGGTGCTGTGGAACAGGTTTTCATTGATGATATCCCTGTACTTAACTCCATTCAGCTTTCCCACAACCCTGACCAGTCTCCCAGTTCCTGCTGCTGAAAAACACCCACAGCATGATGCTGCCATCATCATGCTTCACTTTTGGGATGATATTGGGAAGGTGATGAGTGGTATCTGGTTTCCTCCATACCTAACATTTAGAATTGAAGCCAAACAATTCAATCTTGGTTTCATCAGGTCAGAGAATCTTGTTCCTCACAGTCTTGAGAGTTCTTTAGGTGCTGTTTTGCAAACTCCAAGTAGGCTTTCATGTGTTTTACACATGTCTAGCCATAAAGCCCAGATCTGTGGTGAACTGCTGTGATTGTCCTCTTGGAATTCTGTCCCATCTCCACACAGGATCTCTGGAACTCAGTCAAAGTGACCATTGAGTTCTTGGTCACTTCTCTTCCTAAGGCTGTTCTCCAATTGCTTAGTTTGACCGGGCAACCAGTTCTCGGAAGAATCCGGGTTATGCCAAACTTCTTCCATTTGAGAATTATGGAGGCCATTGTGCTCTTAGGAAACTTCAGTGCAGCAGAAATTTTATTGTAGCCATTCCCAGATCTATGCCTCGTAATAATCCTATCTGTGAGCTCTGCAGGCAGTTCCTTTGACCTCATGGGTTTTGCTCTGCTACAATATGCATTATCACTTCTATAGAAAGGTGTGTGCCATCATGTCCCATCAATTTAATTTACCAAATGTAGACTCCAATCAAGGGTTAGAAACAATCAATAGAAATGGGAGGCATCTGAGCTAACTTTCAAGTGTTATTGCAAGGGTCTGAATACTTATTATGCCAATGTGATATTTCAGGTTTTTTTTCCTTTTTAATAAATTTACAGATATTTTTCACTTTGTCATTATGGGGTATTGAGTGTAAATTCAACAATTGTAGAATGAGGCTGCAGCATAACAAAGGTAACAAAGACGATCTGAATACTTTCTGAATGTACACACACAAACACACAATCCCATGCCATTAAAAACTGGCAGCAAATACAAACATCAAAAAAAATATAGCCTCCACCACTACAAAAATAAGGTTTGCTGTAAGTTGTTCTAGGATCTCCAAATTTATTTCAGCATACAAAACTAACTCTAAAGTTGGGGAGGTTCAGTCATATTTTTGTGTCCACTAAATATTGACAATGTGATGTTTGTGAAATTCTTCATGGCTGCACAAAACAGAACTGTATGCATTGTTCTTTATATACGGCTGTGCAAACAGTGTGCCCAGATCTCAATGGCCACTGGAGGAAAAGCGTCATCTTGCTTATATCCTATATATATATTTCTGATCCATTCATTTGAAATGAATATTTACAATATAAATTTTTTCATTTTCTGAAAAACTGAGCAAATTTGTCAAAAGAGAACTAGATGGCTATCCTGCTGTATTTGCCCCACTGAGTGATTTTAAGACTGTATCAAAAGTTTCAAAAGAGAGTTATAAAATGAACTGTTCATTTCTTATGTAGACTTCCATTGATTTATAGATGGAATCCAAGTTCAGAATAGGAAGGAAAAAAAGCAACCGAACAGCATATTATGCTAGCCAGTATCATATACATACTTCAATTATTTTATTGTTTCCAAATTACATGTAGTTTCTTTCCATCTTGAAATATACTGGTGTAAATGTTATTTAAAAGCAGAGATCTTTGTGCAGAGTAATATGAATCCAAGAATTAAGAATTCTTGTCAGCATGGAACCCTTATTCTCTGAATCCTCTGAAACACTGGAAATTCACTGAAGCTATTTCTTATTAATGACCATAGGCAAAATATAGCCATCAATGGGCAGCAATTGTGATAACTATGTATCATCTCTAATATGAAAAGCAGCATGAACCTGAATTCCAGTTGCCGGAGAGCAGCAATATTGGGTTATGATTCTTACATCCTACTTGCAGGCTTCCCAGGGACAGCTGCTTGGCTACTACAGGAAACAGGATGCCACATTAGGGAGGACTTTGGTATGATCCAGCAGGTCAGTCATGTTCTTAAGTATACACTTTACATTTCGAGAAATGTCATAATTCCTGATTTTAGCTTCATGGTATGCTGCATATGTCCACTGCAGACAAAAATAATGTACATATGCAATAAGTTAGTCTAATATTTTCTTTAGAATGTCAAAATTGTCTGCTTTTCACCTCTAAATCTAAGTGACAAACTGTCATAAATATTTCTTTCTTACTTATAGATTCTAGAAAAAGCATGGTTTTCAATTTTCTTAACACCTTCATTGACTTGGGATTAGATCCTTGTAACTGCACATAAGGAATATATATAACATCAGCACAACTTACTTTTAAGGACACATGCAAATATTATTTCATTTGTTTAACCTGACACTCTTTCCATTCCTCTCTAATAAAAGCAGTTTTCCAAAATGACCTGACAATCTCAGTACCATCTTACTAAAAACAATTCTTTCATACATGGAACATCTTTGCTATGAACTCTAAAATCCAGCTTTTGCTTCCCAAATATTGAAGCCTGAATATGGCTTCATAAATCTATCTTCTATTATTTTAGATAGCCAAATACATGCAGTTTCAAAATCAACCCTTAAGCCTTCAGCAAATTAGAATGAAAAGATTAAAAAAGAAAAACAAGAAGGTATATGGAGTAAAAATGTCAGAAGGTTATAATTTATCTACTACCGTACAGGCAGTTCGTGATGATTGTAATAATGCATTTTTCTAAATAGCCTGTATAGAGATCAATTAAAAAGTCAAAGTCATTCATATTATAGTATTCAATAGCACAGGCTAGAGCAGAGACTGCTTCTCTCCACAGACATGCCTGAAGCACACAGTACTACTGGTGCAGTCCTGATCTCAGAGACATGATTAGTCATTGAGTTCAATAACTGGGAAAATTGAGCTCTAAAAATATTACATTTACCCATAAAATCTGTAACATACATCCTTTATTACAATCTTTGATCAAAATGCAGAACATTCATCCTTACTAGCTTGAGGGTTACTCCTCCCATTGTCATCACATAAACCCACAAGGTCCTACAATCCGTATCTGTTTTAAATTTTCTTGCACAACATAATATAAAGAACAAAGCTTTCCAAAATACATTTAGATGACTGAAAGGGCAGAAACCCAGGCTATTAACAATAACATCTGAATATTTCAGTAACATCTTAGTAAAACACTATGTAGACATGACTAGACTGGCAAATGCAACTATGATTTTCTTAAATTAAATGCTACCTTTTTCTAATATACATTTTTACAAACTGATCTGTTGCCAACTTCCCTTCCTCATTTAAAAGAGGCAAACCAATGAAAAGCATTGCAATCATCTTTAAGAATCAATAAGATTTATTCTGCAGAGGCATGACTCAGTATAAACTTTTAAGAAAATTCTTCACGGCACTATAAAATGACGTAATCGTGTATAATTCAAGCTTTTCTACTTCTTAAAATAGAGGCACGTTTAAAGTACTACTGTGGTGACAACAGCAAAACAATTTGTAACCCAACGCCCATAATACCTTCATGTTGCATATCCTTTAACTGCTCCTTCTTCTGCACTTGCTATAAAGCTATCCCTATAAAACAAAAACAAAAAAGCACACAATAAAGAAATCTCCATTGCATTTCATTCATCCCACATCTTTTACAAGTGTCTTCCCTCTTCAGCTGCACCTGCAACAGTCCTTAATCCTGCATGACTACTACAGATACAAGTTCAAAATGCAGCTGCCTGAGCATCCTTCGTGACTGCAAAGTGATCAAGCAAAACAAGTGTTCGGGGAAGATACAAAGTTGGTAGGTACAACGTGAGTTTGCCACAAGTGAATTAAAAGCAGCATTCCCCCCCGCACCCGTTTTTTATCAAGGCAGACGCTTCCCCCTTTGAAAAACCCTTCGGTCCGCCCACATCGACTGCATATGGAGGGAGCCAGGAATTAAGAGAGCATTCTGCATTCACACACATCAAATGCATGCAGGCAGACACCTTTATAGTGCAGCTGCAGCGGCCGAAGGGGAAAAAAACCGGCATGCTTTTCTTCCTCGCCGGCAGCTCTCAGACCCCGCGTCCTGCCGATCCGATCCTGAAACGTTACAAGAGGTTTCGGCCTCGCAACAAGCTTCGAGGGGGGTGAAAAAAAGGCACACCGCGTCTCTTAAAGCAGCCAGACACACCACCTCTCTCTTCTTCCAAAGCGATATAGTGGAGGGAGGAGGTGCAGGAGGGAGGAGGGAGAGGAGCAACAATAGCAGCAACAGCTCGAAGGGTGATGAATGTGCGAGCAAAGCAGCCAGTAGTGATTCTTGGCGGCGGTAGCAGCAGCAGCAAGAGCAGCAGAACGAATCTACCTCGGAGAGGCAGTTTTGAGGCGCATGGAGGCTGAATGCGAATGCCTCCGGGCAGCAGCAGCACCAACAGAATCCCCGCATAGTCCCCAAACAGCAGCCTTCTTTCCGGGCGGCTGCTTTAATTGTGGGGGGGGAAAGAGGCAAAAGAGAGAAGTAACAGCTCGAGGAAGCGGGAAGATGCAGCCCCTAAGCGAGCTCCCCACCACTCGAGACACGCGCTTTAACTGAGCAGCGGCGGACCTCTCCCCCCTTTCCCTCCGACAAGCAGCGGGGACCTTCTCGGCCGCGGCGCCAGCCCCTTCCCCACAGCAGGTCCACGGTGTTCGGGCAGCTGCCCCCCTTTGGAAGTGGGCACTTCCAAAGGGGGGACCTCCGGCCGTTGCGTCCTCCACTTCCTCACGCACACGACGGCTTTCCCTTCCAGCCAGCTACACCGCCCCTGACTTAGCAAGGCAGCAGGAACTGGGGAGGCCGACCCGCTCTGCCTCGGCTTTGGGAAACGCTCCCTGCTCCCCACCAGCTCCCCATTCAGCCTCTGCCTGGAGGCGAGCAACGGCCGGCCAACCTTCTCCGGTTCTTCCCCTACTACTTACTCTGCGCCTGAGGAAAAGAAGGGGAGGGGGGCAAAAGAACCGCGGCCGCCAGCACTACCGACTACTGCTGTTCTTTGCAGCAGTTCAGCCAAACGCAGTCTTTGCTTTGCCCCGGCTGGAAAGTCCCTGGTGCGCTGCCCCGGCTGGTTCTTTTTTCCCCCCCGCCCGCCCGGCACTTCCTCTCCCGCCCTCGAGCCCAGTCTGGAAATCCCCGCCGCGTTCCTTTCTTTGCTCGCGCTCGCTCCCTCGCTCGCGCGCTGCCGGGCTCTTTCTACAACCAGCACACCACCGCCGCCACCAGCATCAGCACCAAACGCGTCTCCAGACTGGCTCCTCGGCCCTGGCGAGGCGGGTTGAACGAGGGACGGGCCTCCGCCGGAGCTCAGTCCCCGCCCCGCTCATTCGCCAGCCGCGGGCTGGTTGGCTCTCCTGCCTGGCCAAACGGAAAAGAGGAAAATGCGGGGGGCGCTATTTCCGCACACTTTTCATTCAGGAGGAAAAAGGAATGATTGACCCCTAGCCGTAGTTCCGAGGAAGCAGTGACAGAGCTGGCGCTCTTTCGTTCGTGCGTAATTGGGCTTTCGTTTATATGGGGAGTCCCGCTGGAATTCTAGCGCTTGTTTGTGTGGTGAAATGATTACATGAAGTCTCTCTCTCAGCATGGGCTGAGCGCTGTCCTAGCCGTCCACATCTAAGTCCCGTATCTGTTGTGAGCGCTGACTTCCATCATGAAGTTCATAGGGAATTAAAACTTAGGTTTCCCACAGTTGGAGTGGAGGGAAAGAGCGATCCTTGAGCAGGCGTTTGCTTAAATCGTTTTTTTCCACGCTCTTTTCCTTTGTATAAAGGACCTTTATGATTTTCACATGAGGGCATGACAGCATTCATAATTATTTCATAAAAGTAAGTTTTAAAACATTTATGGAGAAGATTACATTTCACTTCTGCTAAAACAACAATTCACTAAAAGCATTTTAATGCAAGTTACAAATTAAGAGTTTCCACAAATATATATTTTTTAATAAAGGCATTCTCCAACACCAAACTTCAAAAGCATCAATACTATTCCTATTTTGCTTCTTCAAAGTCCAACTTTCAGTTTCATGACACAGGGAACATCATGGCTTGCACAACTCAGATCTTTTTATGTACAGGGCAGTTCACAGTATTAAAAATGTATATGTAAAGTTGGAATAGAAGTGTGAAACAAGATGGCCACCTCACCTCATTTGGCGTTTGTAATTATGAGGTGTAGTATTTCTAAAATGAAATGGGGAGGATAAAAACCTGGCTCCCTATAAATATTTTCTTAATATGGTGCCTTCCAGATGTGTTGGGAAGACACTGGCACACTGGCCTAGAATTCAGTGAGGGCAGCAAATTGAGGGAAGCTGGTTTGGATATAGCCAAGCAATCATCTCTGCTACCAAAAAATACACTTCTGGTGTAAAGAGGTTTTCAGTCAGCCTTGTGTGAAATCACTAGAGAAGCAGAGAATGAAGAAGGAAAAGAAACAACGTGACAAGTGAAAATGAAGGGAAATCAAGAGTCATCACAAGGCCAAATAACCAATTCAAGAAAGTAAGCTCATTTCACTCCAAAGTCAAGGGTCAAAAAAATGCGAAGAATAGGAATAAACAACATGTAAACGCAACTTCAGATGGCAAGAAAACATTCAGAGCCCAAGATTTATGGGAGCTAGCAAAACCTAGCCAACAGAGGCAACATACATGTTTTCATATTCACTCTCAGAAAATATTATCTATTTGCCATCATAACCTAATTCATAGAAAAACTATTTTTATCTTAAGGTTATTCTACCAACACATATTTAGAAAATGTCATTTACATATTTTGGGTGATATTAGAGATCAGAGAAATAGCATTAAACTGGTAAGTTTGAAAGTTATCGGACCCACATTAAAGCTGCTTTATGGTTGTAGCTCTTTATTCTGAAATGTCTATAAAAAAGAATAACACTTAAATCATTTTGAAGAAATGCTCATATTTAGGCTATGATAAACGCCTTCTCCAGCTGAAAAAGCAAGCAAATAACTGAATCCTAGTTTATCCCTTTGAGAAGTTGTCTCTTACCAGATCTTCACCACATCTGGATAACCTGAAGCAAGTGAGATGCTTATCCAAAACAATCCATGTTATCATACAATTGAGCATGTTTTTAGAGACTGGCAGCCATGGCAAAGCCTGTCAGGAAGATTGAACCTCTTATGCGAATTAGAGCCACTTCCACATCACCAGTGTTTCCACCCCTTTAATCACTCATAAAGCAGTGTGATTCCAAGTCCAACCAATAAATGTTATTACTTCTACCAGCCTCAGGGCACTGAAAAAACCCCATTGTCTTGGCAATTGTTCAAGTGGATATTTTTCCTTACAACTGTGACCATGGTTACCTTTGCTGGACTGGGGAAAAGCAGAAATTTTGAATGATACATACAGGAAAAGTCAAGTTCAGAGAACATGATGCTGAGCTTAAAAGTGTGTGTGCAGGGGAGGAGGGGGGAATCATAGAATCATAGGGCTAGAAGGGACCTTGGAGGTCTAGTTTAACATAACTCAGTTTAACTTAAGTGCTAGGAAGCGGGTTAGGTAAGGATTCCAGCCGACGAGAAAATTAACCACTCACAAGATTTACAGTGTTAAGCAATTCTAAGTAAAATATTAGTTTTGTAATGTTTCCAAAAAATTTGGATTAGACTCAGAACAGAACATTTTTGCATCTGAAAATAAATGATAGCATGAAATCAATCTGGTCTGGAGCTGATGCTGCTGATCCTAAAATGATTGCAAACGCTTATTTGAAAATGCTTTAGGGTTCAAACGTGGAGTGAGTGTTTTCAGAGGTTTTCTTGGGGAGGGGGTGATAGGTTATTTATTTATGGTGCCTTCTAGTCAATCTTAAATCCTAGTCATTGCCTGTACAATTCTCAGGAGTTTTCTGACAACATTTTAGGAACTGACTGGCCCAAATCCACCCAGCTGATTTCATATCTAAGGCAGTACTAGAACTCCCAGTTTCCCAATTTTTAGCCTGGCAACTTTTAACAACTACACCAAATTGGTTGTCAGGATTTCACGTTACAAATTCCCATTTCTTGGAGAGTTGCCAAAGCCTATATTTTATTTTAAATGCCTAAATTCTGCTTCTTGCAATTGCCGTAGCATGACAAGCTATCTTTATGAAGCAGCTTTAATATGGTTTAAGTGATGCTACCAGGTGCTGTTTTTCTGATATGTGAAGTCCAGTTGTTTCCTACAATGAATGAAAATTAAGCTTGATACCCATGTGCCATTTCAGCTTCTTATCTCTTATTGTCAGTGGCATTGAATGGCCAAGAAACAATCTGATTCTATCCATTGTCCTTCTCATTACTAAAAAAGAACCAGTCACAACTATTTTGCCTAAATTTGTTATTGTCATTGTAAATTTCACAATTCACAAAAGTTTCTAGAATCTTTACAGACTAAAGAATTTGCCAGGAAAAGGATATAATATGCCTATTATGCATTATTATAAATTTGATTCTGTAAATTATTAACTTATCATTTAATATACAATATAGATCATGCTGAAGACCATATTTGTTCAAGTGGTATAAAACACAGTTATGGCAAGATTACAAAATATAGAAGTAATTCATCCCTTTGATGAAAATTGAAGGAAAGAAGTGGTGTGGGGATGGGAAGGGCAAAGCTACATTACAATTTTTATGGGGGCAAAATAATTTCCTAGAGGAGAAAATGGACTGCTGGGTTATTTTAAAATTATTTTAGAGAAATATAACAGAGCTGAGCATAAATCCAAACTGTCATGTTCGCCGATTGCGAGAAGGAGACGCGAGACTCAGTGACTCTTTTTAAGCTCTTTATTTAGTTCTGAGATCGGCTCGGCTTTCCCTCGGATCGGTGGCGGCTTATATTGAACTTGCCTTGCCAGCCGCGGCCAATGACACCGTTTCGAATCCCCCGCGATCGGTTTCCTCCATTCGCGGGCGATTCGCAATGGGCCAATCACTACGGCTCACTCAGCCAATCCGAGCACCGTGCGTCCTGGCCAATCAGGATGAGGGGTTACAAGAATGCTAATGTAGCAATACAGAACACCCCTCCCCTCTTGGTATGGTCCTACGTAATGTAGTCCCATAAGTAGGCGGGGCTCTGTATCTGTCTACTGGACCTGCGCAGGTTAGTTGGTGCCTGGTCTTTGAGCGGTTCGGTTGGGTTCTGTGTCGCTCTCTGCCTCATCGATGGAACCGCCTGGAAGGGTGAGCCGGGCCTTCCGCCGTAGCTCCCTCCCGGTCTACTCGGGCTGGTCGAGCTGCTGGCTCTGCTGCTCCCGCACGGTCTTTCCGGGCTGGTTGAGCTGGCTTGGCTGCTCCTTCCAGGCGAGGCTTTGGGCTGGTCGCTTCCCTGTACTTCAGCTGGTGAGTATTCTTGGTTTCTTTCTTGTTGGGGTTGCCTGTTTTGATTTTCGGGGTTTGCCTTCCCTTCTTGGCTGGTGTTTGGGTGCTCCCCTTCCACTCCTGGATTTTTGTTTGCTTGTGCTTGTGTGTCGGTTGTGTTTCCCGTGGCAATTCTCGATCTTAGTTGATCGATGTGTCGCTTCCATGCTCGCCCATCGTTTGTTTGTAGCCGGTACGAGCGGGGACCTGTTACCTGGGTTATTGTGGCTGGTACCCAGAGTGGGTCCCCTCTGAAGTTTTTAGCATATACTGCGTCTCCTGGTGTGAATGTTCGATGCTTGCTTGATGAGTCGGGGGGTCTTTCGGGGTTGTATGTGGGGTGCAGCCTGTCTAGTGGGGATCTTAATTTTCTCCCCATTAATAGTTCTGCTGGGCTTTTGTTAGTCATTGTGTTGGGAGTTATATGTTGGATGAATAGCATTTTATTTATTTTTTCTTGCATCTCTCCGGTTTCGATTTTTTGGATTGTTTTTTTGGTGAATTGGACCATTCGCTCTGCCCTCCCATTCGCCACCAGATGTACTGGTGCTGTCATGGCGTGCCGTATTCCCTGCTCCGCTAGGAATTTTTCGAATTCCAAAGCGGTGAACTGTGGGCCGTTATCTGATACGATTACATCTGGGAGACCGTAGGTTGAG